CGCCCCCCTGAGGCCCTTGGGATCACAAACAACATTGAATAGAAACCCTGTCTCTCCTGGTCCACTGGAACTGGCTGGATGGCCTGAATGTCCAGCAGATGGTGGGTTCCATGAGATCCCTCTTTGAGGGGTCCCTGGAGACAGGGCAACACACAAAGGCTCTTGGGGGGGAGGAGAGAAACTCTAGAGAGAGACCCGATCTTAAGGTTGACAGGATCCAAACATCTACCGTGGTCTGTTCCCACCTCTGCCAGAACAGTCCCAGATGGCCCCCTATGGGGGATGAGGCTCGGGCGGTCACTTGTTGCACCTGAAGGGTCTGTTGGAACCCCTAAAGGACCTTCTGCCCTCTTGCCTCTGATGCCCTCTGGCAGCAAAGGCCTGTCTATCGGCCTGAAAGGAGGATCTCTGAAAAAAGGGCCTACTTTGACGGGGAAAGCCTGTCCCAGCTTCCGTCTGTTTAAAGGAGGGCTTCCTGTAGTAGGGATGAGACCTGTAATCAAAGCGCCTTCCTTGGGAGGGCAGGATCTTTTGCTTGTCCCTAGTTTCTGTCAAAAAGGGATCCAGGGCTTCCCCAAAAAACCTCTCTCCCTTAAAGGGAGCCGACACCAGCTTCCATTTGGTTCTGATGTCCATCTGCCAATTTCTTAGCCAGAGAAGCCTGTGTGCTGTTATGGAAGAGGCCATGGTTCTGGAAGAAAATTTGGCTGATGTGAGGGTGGCATCCACAGTCAACTGAGTCGCAGCTATAATCTTATTCGGGTCCTGATGCACCCTGAGATCCTCAGGTGGGATTCTGTCCTGTAGCTGCCTCATCCACCGCAAAGAGGCCCGTGTAAAAAAGGATGCGGTCGTTGATGCTCTGATGGCCCAGGTGTCGGCTTGATGAGCTCTCCGGAGCACCATCTCCTCCTTCCGGTCCTCTGTCTTTAGAACATCCTCCGCATCAGGTGGGATAACAGTTGAGGAAGCTAGGGCTACCACTGGGCCATCTACCTTTGGCACTTCCATAATGTCCAAAAGGTCTTTGTACATCCCAGGGGACTCCCACCACTTTTTGATCAGGTTGAGAAACATCTGGGGCACAGGTACAGCGTCCACCACAGATGCTTTCTCAGTGAACAGGAAATCCTCCTGATCCTCTCCCTCAGTGGGAAGGTCCTGAGTGACCGTGTCCTTTTGAAGATGAGCCGTGTTCTTGGCTTTAACCAGCAGAGTCTTGAAAAGAGTTGGCTGGAAAAGGCCCTTAAAGGAGGGGGGACCTGCTACCTCCGACTCCTCATCCGAAAAATCCCTTTCTGGAAGGAGGTCTCTCTCGGAGCCATAAATTTGGCTGCTTTCTGAAGGGGAGGCCGAGCACTCTCTGAAGTGGACCGGCTGTTCAGCCCCTGCTCCTGCAGGACTCCTCTGCTAGTTTCCAAATAAGACAGCTGGCGCAGCTGGTTGACCTCTGCCTGCAATTCCTGTCATTGTCTGGGATATCCAGGCTCTCAAGAAGGATGGCATTTCTTGCATCTGGGTCTCCTCCGGCCATAAGCCAGCTGCTGTATGTGTAAAAGTGGCTGCAGGCACAGGTCTGGATCCACTGGAGACTTGGTCTGGGGCTCAGAAAAATTGTGAGAGGTCTCAGCCCTGATTTGGAGGTTACCCTGCAAATCGTGGGTACTTGAGACCAGGCCATCATATACTGCCTATCTGCCAGTTGGTCTGGCTGCCTGTCATCTTGAGGAGGCAAAGTTTGAGGGTTGGCTCTGTATTCAGCCATCTTGGAATCTCTCACTGCCCTGTCAAACTGTTTGTCTATGGCCTTTTCTCTATGCCTGGCCTGTCTATCCTCAGCCCTAGAGGATCTCTTAGGGGCTAGAGCCCTGGCTCTAATCCTAGCTGCTGCCTCCAGACCAGAAGACCTGGGCTTAGGGGATCCCTTTATAGCCTTCTCTACACCCTCAGCCTTCTCGCTGAGGAACTGACAATTCTTGATCATTTCCCTTGGCGGCCATCTTTGAGCCCGCCCAAAATAACTGTCACTTGACAGGGGTAGAGAAAGGGAGAAAGGAGTAAGAATAAACAAATAAAATAATAAAATAAAATAAAATAAAATAAAATAAAATAAAATAAAATATTCAGCCTAAGCTGTCAGCTACAGCCACAGTAGCTGTCCACCACTTCAGGAGGCTAGTGCGACCCAAAGTGGTGAGCTCAGCCCAGTTCCACAATTCAAAAGCTGAGTCAAGGGGGAAAAAAAAGGTACGAAAAAATGAAAGTGCTAAACCGGCAAACCGACTAGCTGTCAAACCTGATCTAAGCCTCTCTGCGAAAAAAAGCTTAATCCAAGGGGTGAATATTCTTCTACAATCCTAACTATTCAGAGCCCTTAAAGGGAGGTCTGAACACACTGAGACCGAGTAAAGAACTGGGGACCGTTACCAGGGGATGTGTCCTCAGTTTTTTCAACTCAGTCTGCAGAGCTAGGAGACTAGAGACTACCCAGCCTGGATTCTCCCTTTGGCTCAGTGGAGAATTAGCAATTTTCTAATCTTCATAAAATTATCTTGATTCTTAACAGTCAGCAAAATCAGCAGAAAGTGCAATAGTCTGTTGCCCAAAGCATAAGGAAGTATACTGGACAAGAGTTGCCTTTAAATGAAACTAGTTGAATCCAATTACTTGAGTTTTTCAATGATATTGGTTGAACTTTAGGCTTCCATTCTAAGCACACTACTTGCTTAATTTTGGTTAAAGATAATTATGTGGCACAAATCTAGATTTTTGACTTGACTTAATTTGATTCTTGAATTGTTATCTTGAAATTTACACTGTCTAACCTCATATTTTTCCATTCAAACATATATGCTCAGTATATCCACTCAGAAAATAAGTATCTGAGTTTATCATCATTGCAAAAATAAAAATGAAAATGAAAGAATATTGTATTTAAAAAATGTGACTTTGTTTCCAACTTTTATGATTAAATGAACTTGCTTATAACTAGAGCCACAGAGTTTGCTACTCTGTTGTTCATTATTAACAGCAATCTTATCATTCAAATTAAACACTAGAACTAAATTTATTTTTTGTAAATTATTTTTGGAAGGAAAAGCATAATAATGATTAAGGACTTTAAGTTCCTATTTAATGATGAACTCCTGTAGGAATTATATATTGGTGCTGTGAGGGCTGAGTTCATATGCTTCACAGCAGATGCCTCAAATATCTTAATATTGTACAAAATTAGAATTGTTTTTCATGTTTTTCAGATCTTTTAAGCTTCTGTGGATTGAAAGCTTTGCAGTACCGTCTCCTTAAGCATCTTCAGATCACCAAGCAACACCCATATATTGTGACTTGTTGGAGAGTAGATTTTTTTTTAAAATTCTCACAATGAAAAAGAATCACAACAGGGAAAAAAAAAAGAAGATGGATGGTTTGAGTGTTTGTTTGCCAAAGTGATATGCTGCTTATCTCACTGTCTCAAGTGAGTCAGGGCATAAATGTCAAAATATTAAAAACATTAAAATTAAGATTAGCAATGCTTAAATAAAAGGGTAAACCCATGACCACAGACAGTCAGGAGATGGACTTTTGTCTATCAATCAATCAACCACCTCCAGCATAGCATGCCCCCATCAGGGTCCCTAGTCAATTGGCAGAGCCAGGTTTTAAGGCCCTTCCAAAAACCAGAAGGGGAGGGACAGTTCTCATCTCTAGAGGCAAGATGTTCCAAAGGATAGGGGCCATAGCAGAGAAGGCTCTTCTCTTTGACCTCACTAACCAAATTTCCTTGGCTAATGTAGTCCAAAGAAAGTATCTTCTGCCAATGCAAGTGGGGCAAATCAATCCCATTAAGGCAAGATGGTACCACAGATATCCTGGTCTCATACTATGAATGGCTTTAAAGGCAATAATCAGCATCTTGTATTGGACACAGAAACAAACTGGCAACCAATGCAGTTTAGTGAAGTTATGTGTGCCAACCCCAGCATCTCTGGATCTGTCCATGCAAGGTTATCAGACAGATGTTACTTTAGTTATTTCCCTACTGACCAACTGGAGAGAGAAAAGAGGCAATAGTACAGTCATTTGCTCTGCATCTTAGGAACTCAGGATTGGGGTATCCATATGTGCAAAGCCAGCAGCCATGTGGAGGAAATCAAAGTATTTATGTGGAGTAGCATTGGAATGGGGAAAAATATTGAGATGGCTGCTCATTTTTTCCCCCAGTAAGACACTATTGGGCTCCATAAGGGCTGTCTTGTGACTCATAAGTAGCCCTCTTTTGCATTAGTGCTCACCTATTTCTACCTCTGAGGATGATGGGGGAATTTGGAGAAATAGGGAACTGCATTGCCTTTCTCTTATCTATTCAATCATGATTACATATTATTGTGTTTCATTTTCTGAAATGTTCACTGCAAAACATTCAGCCATTAAGACAAAAAAACAAACAGCTACTTGAAGATAATTTGGGATTCAAATCAGAACCACTGGAGAACAAGATCCCGGAGGAATGCATGCCCACTTATTAGCAGGGCCATGAATACTATTTTCCCTTTAAAAGGATCAATCATTTGTCTCATAGCTGGCCATATAAAATATAATGTCCAAACTCTTCTCTGTTTTTGTTCCTTTTTCTGTTGCCTGTTCTTCCAACTCTATACTATATTTTCATCTACTTTCCTCATGCTGAACACCCAAAACTGTTCAAAATTGGAATTAATTCCCATATAAATGAGTTGGTTTAGATTGGAAAGTGGATACTTCCATTAAAAGAGTAACATCTGTTCTAAAAGCACAACATTTTGTGTTTTATTCAACAGAGATTATCACAAACACCTGGTTCTGGCTGTGCTCATTTACAGTAGGAACACCATATGGGCATGTATTTGTCCTGGTTCAGTGTATGCTAGATCAGTGACAATGAAGGGATGTCAGCCTAGTTGTTTATTATGTCCTTGGTTCACATCTCCATGACAAGGTTTGTACTATTTTTAAAGCCTTACCTCTGCAAAATGGCACTGGGAAATCCCATGATGCTCCATTTCCAGGACTCATGAAACATGTCAGCACAGCATGGCCTTCCAGGATATAGCCTGCAATGCAACTGTATCGAATTTTATCTCCAATATTGAATCTTGTGCCATGAAGAATGCCTTTAGGTATTTCCCCAGGGTTGCCACAGGTATGGCTGGGTAGCACTATTAGGAAGAGAGAGAAAGAGACAGAGAAAAGGAAATTTAGCACAACAGAATATTCCCAATAAATTTTTTATTGACAAGGATTTCTTGTATAAGTCTCTTTTTGTCTTTGCTTCTCTGCTTTTATTCAGAGCAAATAAATTTCAATTAAAGTGTCAAAAATTCTCATGCCAGATCTAAATCTGTAATTTATAGTTTTCCTGAATTTTATACCTGAGAAAGTATTTTAGTTGTTTCAGCTGTTTAATTTACCACCTTTGTATTGCAGCATGCATACAATTGATGCATTTCTATAAAAAATCAATTGGAGTTTGGCCATTTGCTTCCATCTGATAGGGCCAGGGTACAATACTATTTATCTTACTATGTAGCATTTAATAGAGCAGTTTGCAAACAGAATTGCCTAAGAAGATTGACTGGCATATGATGTCAAGTAAGAGATCAGCCTGAAGCAAAAATCACCATCAACCATTTAAGTTTCCCCCATATAAGCTATAGTGGAATGATAGGGATTTGAGAAGGCAGAGGTTTGATTTGGAACTATTTACATGGAAGCCTCAAAGGATTATAGGATTTGGCTGACTTGCTCAGTCCAACAAACTAAGCAGGATTTGGAAGTATGTATACATGGAAAGAAAAACATCAAGAAAGTCTACAGTTGTTGGCTAGACCATGATATCTTATAGGCCAAATTATAACATGAGTTAATTTTGTTATCAGACTTTCTATGGTGATCTGGAACACAATCATGCCCACATGTAATTATGGTTGTTCTATATCGCAACAGAAGTGGACCTGATTTTTTTTATATATCATGGAGAATGATATTTTTGTTAAGACAAATCCTGTAAAGCTGAAGACCTTTCAGGATTTGCCTTAACAATAACTGGGTTTTCCTTGTTCAGAATCAGAAGCTTTGTTCTCCTCCCATCTCCATTTGAATGGAAAGTGACCCAGGAAAAGGGTGGTGTCATCTGACATTAGTTAAAACCAAAGCACATTAATCAGACTGTGTATTTCCATGTACTATGCAAATAAATTCTATCAAGGAGCCATGCATGTTCAGCATCATCATTTATTGGTTCCCATAAAGCACCTCAGTGATGAATTCAGCTTCCACGTGGTTAATACCAACTCAACAGTAGATTCAGATGATTAGGAAAGAAATTTTCCTCAAAAATGCTTACATACATTAAAGTCTCTTATACTTGGGAAAACAAAACTTCCTTTCTAAAGAGTGTTTGGCAATCTTAATTTTTTCCTTCTCTAACCCACTTGTTTGCTAATCCTGGTTACCAAATGCACCCAACACATTACTACCCTCTAATCAATCAAACCTACCAAGTCAGTCCTCTGTCCTATTACAGGCTGGTTGGTTTGCTTTAAGTTCCAAACATCTGCATTACTCTTGAAAGATGGCAAAGAATGAATTTGCATTATTCTATATAAAAGCAAAGGCTGGATGCACATTTCAAGTTTTGCATAATAACAGTAGTCCATAACTGTCAGAAAAATGATATCAATTACTTGCATCACTGTCTCTGTAATAATGATTTACCTTTAAATTACAATTGGATCAGCCAATTTTGATTTAACAAGATTTTGATACATCTTTCAAATACCACGTTCAGGTTTGCTATCAAAATCCCACGTGAAATGCACATTAACTTACAACAAGAAAAGAGATATCTAACAACATTGTACAACCAAACCATAAAATAATTTGGGAGAAAATAAAACCCATATTGGCTTGAAATACACACTATAGTGAAACTGGTGGCAGCATCTTTTGCCTATATTTCAGATCTTATTAGGAAAGCCTAATCTAAAGAGACAATTTTGAATGCACTCTGCATTAAAAAAATATCAGGCAAAAATGCCATTATGCCATATCATAATGCAGTTTTACTACAAGGTTGCTTCTGGAACTACTGTTTGTACGTCAGCTCCCAATACTTTTTTTGCATTCAGCATAATATATGCAGAATTCATTAATTAAAGAAGCCAGGCTTTTCTATCAATGAAACAACTTTGTTTTAACTATTACATGAATTTTTATAAAACTACCAAACATGTAAAAATGTTGTCTTTGGGCAAAACTTGTTATAACTGCATATTAAGCTGACCATTCAATCTATATGGATCATTGCTGTTCAAACTTGACAATTTTAAGAGGCATGCTTCTTAAAGAGTGAATTCTGGAAATTGAAGTCCATACATCTTTAAATTGCCAAGACTGAAAAACACTGGTACAGAAAGTATCACTCTAGCATTCATGCCTATAATATTGGCCTCTTGTTACTGCTGAAAATGGTTACTCTCATTAATAATAGGAACTATTATTTCATATCAGTATGTTTCCTACAGGATATTTCCAATAAGTTGTAGGCCGAGTCCAGTCTGGTTATCTATCCATTGCCTTTTCACCTTCTTTTTATCCTTGTTGGATTTCCATCAGTCTTCTCCTCACTTCCTGTGTACCATATTTGGTCAAGAGTTACCACCTTCTCAATTTCCCTCCATTCTCTTGTTCTCCCCAAATGGTATTCCCCATGCTTTTCTCTTCATGTATGCAAAGACCATTATAAACGTGATCTTTTAAGTACTGTAATTCAAGAAAAGGAAGAGTGGGAAATTCTTCAGATCCAATCTTAACAACATCTCCATCTTTAGCCTCCATGAGAGATAATTCTTCTCATTAAGAGGAGCCAAAGGAAATCCTCATCCCATTTCTGCAGCAGATAGTTCATGCTGTCTTTACAGCCATTTGTCCTCAATCTCCCTCAGATTCACAAAGAAACTTTAACCTGAGAGGAATTTACTACTGATGTTTCAGGGCACTGCCGGGCCCATAACCTCTTGGGGAATTGCACATAGGCTATTCAAATGTACTTAGAGACACTAATGTGAACTTGTAGTTTTATATAAATAAATATATTTTACACACACACACACACATCAAACTAGATAGCAAATAAGCGCATCATGAGCTAAAACATACAGCACATAGGGCACACAGAAGAAAAAAGGGAGGAGAAAAGGGAAACTCCCTCTCTAACTCAGAGCAACCAATCACAGTGCAGATTGCCTCACGCAGGCAACAGTCAACCACAACTGTATGTTCTGGCTCACTGCACAACCCCACTGCTCCATCTACCAAATTTAAATATCCGCCTCCTCCTCTTCCTCCTCCTCCTCATCTATTATCATACCTTTAACATCATCAAACATCAAAATCTGCCTATACCAGATCTTTGGGAAAGTTTTGAAAGTGGATAAAAATGCCAGATCCATTCTAAAAAACTGGCAGACTGTGAGACCAACCACAATAATAATAAACTATCTCCTTCCAACACTCACTATCTCACTTTAAATCATCTATCTCATACTTTTTCTTTTTTTTTCTTTTTTCTTTTAGATTCTTTACAAGAGAAAAGGAGAGTAATAAAATGATGGATATTCTACTGTTATCCCTGGCTGATTGTTCCCATATGAACACAGCTGTTGACAGAGAAAAAATATCTCTATCTGACAAAGTTTAAAGCTAGACAGCATGAGAGATTTTAAGTTTAATTTCAAAAAATGGAATTGTTCACATGATACAATTACCTATCAAGATCAAATATGATTAGTTTATTTAACTGCTTTTCAGAAAACATTGAAACAATATTTAAGTTGGCATGCAGGACCAGCTGTGCAATCTCAGATTTGAAATAAAAATGTATTATGATGGACGTATCATCAGCTGTACAGCACAGGCAAATATTTCATTACCCAAGCCACATCTGATTCATGGCATAACTACATTTCAATAGATGTAACTCAACTGAATTTCAGTAAAATTTTAGGGATATGCAACATAGGTTGAGATTTATTAAATAATAATAATAATGATGATGATGATGTTTGAAGAACTTTGAAGGTTTATTGAAAGCACAGACCTTACCTGTCCTTATTTAAACATGCAATTTCTTTAGAAGAATCTATGATTTATTCATTCTTCTGAATGAAATGAAAGCATTTTATGGCAGTGATTTTCTGCTGTGAAATAAGTTGTTTAATGGTGCTTTCTCTTTATTATCTTTAATGCAGCATTTATCTTTAAAATCCTGAATTAAAAAGGTAATTTTGAATTAATGAAGATGATATCATAAAAATGGTTAAGCCAAAGTAAGAAAGGAATCCTATATAAAAAAAATACTATATATTTGAAAAGAATAAATAGTCCAAGGAAGTCACATTTTAGTCCATAATGTGCTTTACTGGTTCCTCTGTAATTATAGCTTCCAAGATCCCAACTAACTGGACTTGGAAACATGCAGATCCTCAACCTGACAGGTTTTTTTTCTTTTAATGATCCTGTAATCCAGGGGTGGGATTCTACCGGTTTGGACAAACCTCTTGCTCCAAAAATCAGCTGGCAGCAAACCGGTTCTCTGCAACTATCATGTGGGCCCACTCATCCACCCGTCCCTGAGCTTTACCTACCTATATTGTCTCAGCTGATTAGTGCGGCACAGCAGATTGCTGCTTTTCAGCTGTGTTACTCGAGTGCTGTGCACAACAAAGTGCACAGTCACCAAACCAGTTGTTAAACCTGGAGATCCCATCCCTGCTGTAATCCTTTTGTTCAGGGTGGAGTCAGGGAAACTGAATTAAGCTCAAGTGTTTTACAGGCCTGGTGCCCTACTTGATGCCTGTGTGGAGTTTGCAGCAGACCATTATTCATTGAGTCCAGAGAGTATCTGCCACCACCTAGCATTGAACCCACGGCCTCCTGATTATGAGGTGAGAGCTCCACTTCTAGGCTACTATGCTGCTCCCATCCCCAACCTGACAGTAACCATGAGATTTCAAGATAACAGTCTTTTATGGATCTGACCATAGATTTATTCAATCTACTTTTATTATGGGAATTGCTTAGAAAAATCTAAGTTAGTGGACATCACCACCTCTTGCAATAACTAGCAAACTATGCATGCCATGAAGTACTTTTTCTT